GTGTTCAGGTGTACATAGTTGTATTATCCTTATGTGAGAGAGGGACTATTGTGGTCCAGTCATGACTTGTTCTCAAGAGGTCACATCTAATGAGGACCTTAGTCATTGACGGACTGTGGTGATATAGTGGGCAGGGGTCCCATGTCAGAGGAGGATATACATACTGGGGGGTATGTTGCCCCTGTCTGTTGGACTTTTGACAGTTGGGTGGTATCCCCCATTTTAGTATATGGGAGGGTAAGTGGGGGGTAAGGTAAGCGTAGGGAAGGAGGAAGAGGGTCTGTCCGTCGTCCATGTGTCTATCCAGCCGGTGTAACTCCCTGTCATTAGGTATGGAGCAGTGTCAGGAAGTCTTGTGTCGTCGTGGTCAGTATCCAGTGGGTCCAGATGTCTAAGTATGTCTGATGTTGTTTTTCAGTAGCTGACATGGCGAGCTCTTCTACCGCTCGTAGCTCTTCCATGTGCGTAAACCATTTAAGTATGGAAGGAGTCTCTGTTTTCTTCCAGTATTGTGGTATAGTCTGCTTGGCCATGTTTAGAATTCGAATTGTAAGGGACTTTTTGTATTTAGAAATTGGTATGGTCATGTGGTGGAGCAGCATTGCTGCCGGGTCTAATGGTGGTGGGTTATCAGTGAAGCGGGAAGCTATTTTATGAATTTTCCTCCAGAATGGTTGTACGAGTTCGCATGCCCACTAAGTGTGTAGGGGTGTACCTGTTGTCTTTGCGCACCGCCAGCATAGGCTTGACCCGTGAGCGTGCGTGTATTGAGTCGTGTCCGGGGTACAGTACCATTGCGTGAGTATTTTATATGCTGTCTCCTGACTCTTGCTAAAAATGGAGCAATGGTGGTTGACCTCACAGATCTTTTCCCAGTCAGCCCCACTAAGTGTGTGATTGAGGGCCTCTTCCCATTTCCCCATGAAGCGTGGCGCGGCCATGGGTGTGAGTGTTTGTAGGAGGGCGTAGAGGTGCGAGATGCCATGTGGCAGTGGGTCAGGGTCTGCGCATATCTGTTCATAGGCGGTGAGTTCCCTAGTAATGGCTCCTGCGCGGGGCAGGGTCTTTATGTAGCTCATCAGCTGTGCGTAGTGGAAGTGGGTTGCGAATGGTTGTGTGTGACCCCCGCATAAGTCAGCCAAGGTCCTCAGCCCCCGACCGGAGCACACATGGTGCAGCCTTGGCATTGGGTCCTGCACCAGGGCCTGCAGCGCCCTAGGGTCCGTGCCCGGCGGGAAGTCAGGATTATGTGTGAGGGGAAGCAATGGGGACGGGTGTGCGGAAAGCGCGTGTCTACCGGCATTGCCTCGCCATATCCTCAGAGTTACTTTCGTATACGGGGAGTAATGCGTTTCTCTTCCGTCCGTCCCCGCGGGGAGCCACGGGATAAGGGCGGCTGGGAGCTTAGCTATCCCCTCCTCTGCCTGTTTCCATAGTTTGTTGACCCCTGTCTTGGACCACTCCGCAACACGTTGCAGGTGGCATGCCTTATAGTATAGTCGGAAGTCCGGTAGAGCCAGACCCCCTTTGTGTTTGGGTTGAGTTAGCAGTGTGTATTTCAGTCTGGGTCTCCTCCCGTCCCAAACAAAAGCCCCTAGAGCCTGCCGGAGCTTGGCGAAAAAAGAGGATGGGATCGTGATGGGCAGGGCCTGGAAGAGGTAGAGCAGTCTCGGTAGAAAGTTCATTTTTATTACTTGGATTCTACCCAGCCAGGAGATGTGCGGGAGGGCCCAGTCCCTCATGTCTGTATGGAACTTAGCTAGTATCGGAGCGAAGTTCGCTGTGAATAACTCCGATTCCTTAACGGTCAGCCAAGTGCCGAGGTATCGGATTTTGTCTGTGGCCCATTGGAACGCGAAGCTCCGTTGGAGCTGTGCGGATCTCCTTGCGGGGATGCTTAAATTTAAGATATAGGACTTTGAGAAGTTAATCTTGTACCCCGAAAGCCCTCCAAAGGCCTGAAACTCCTGCACTAAGTTGGGAAGGGAGACTTCCGGGTGGGTTATGAAGAATAGTAGGTCATCCGCATAGGCGGCTAGCTTATGGTGTGTGTCTCCTATGTGTACACCCTTGATGTCTGGGTGGTGACAGATTGCGGTTAGTAGGGGTTCTAAAGCCAGAACGAACAGTAGTGGGGACAATGGACACCCCTGTCGCGTGCCGTTGTATATCGGGAACGCCTCTGTGGGTGCCCCGTTGACCAGCACATGCGCCGTCGGGTGAGTGTATAGGGCCCTAACCCATCCACGCAGGTATGGTCCCATTCCCATGTGTGACAATGCCTGGAACATATACTCCCAACAGACCCTGTCAAAGGCCTTCTCCGCATCCGTGGATAGCAGGAGAAGGCCTGTGTCGTCCCCTGATTTTCTGTGCATAATCGTGAGGGCCCTGATGGTGTCGTCTCTGGCTTCCCGGCCCATCACAAACCCCACCTGGTCCGCATGGACCAGAGAGGGCACGTGCTCCTGAAGCCGGGTCGCCAAGACCTTGGCCAGTAGTTTAATGTCATTGTTTATGAGGGATATGGGCCGGAAACTCCCGCAGTGCTCCCTGTCCTTGCCCTCTTTCGGAATTATGGTGATATGGGTCATGAGTGCCTGTGTGGGTAATTCATGTCCCTCCCTGATGGCGTTGAACATGGCCAGTAGTGGGGGATACAGGGTCTCGGCATAGCTTTTATAATATTTGAGAGGCAGGCCATCGGGGCCTGGACTCCTACCCGGTTTCATGGATTTGATGGCGAGTGCTAGTTCCCCCATGGATATTGGTTCGTCTAGTTGATCTGCCGTGTCCGCCTCCAGGGAGGGAAGCCTATGGGTCTGTAGGTAGTCGTCTATTGAGGCCCGTAGGGAGCGCGACTGTGCGTCTGTGTGTGGGCGTGGGAGGGAGTAGAGTTCCGCATAATATGTGCGAATAATTTCTTGGATCTTGGCCGGGTGTCTGTGTAGGACTCCTGCCTTGTCACGGATTCTATCTATATACGTGTCTTGTCTCCTTTTGGCCAGCATGCGCGCTAGAAGTTTTCCGCTTTTGTTTCCGTGTATTGCAAAGAAGGCCCTGTTTCGTAATGCGTCCCTTTGATAAGTTGAGTGGAGGAGAGTGGTCAGTTCCCTCCTAAGGCGGAGGAGTTTGGCCTGGTGTGTGGGGAGTTGGTGTTGTTTGTTAAGTGTGTCTGCTTGTTCTATGTCTGATAGCAGAGCGGCCATGCGGGCCTCTCTCTGTTTCTTCAGGAGTGAGCTTTTTTGAATAAAATGCCCCCTTATGACACACTTGTGTGCCTCCCAGCGTATAGTGGGGGGGGTTTGTTCGCAGGTGTTGTTTGTGAAGTAATCCCGCAGTGTCTTCCCAATGTCAGATGTGACCGTTGGGTTAGTGAGCAGTGATTCATTTAACCTCCACTTGGAGATCTTGGGTCTATGGAGGCGGGAGTTTAGTTTAATGGTCACCGGTGCGTGATCTGACCATGTCACGGTGCCCTGGTCTGCCTGTAGGACCAACGGTATGTGGTGACTGGGAACTAGGAGATAGTCTATGCGGGTGTAAGAGTTATGGGGGTGGGAGTAGAAGGTGAAGTCCCTTTCGTCAGGGTGAAATGCTCTCCAACAGTCCACTAATTTCGCTCTAGTCAGGAGAGCTTTAATGGCCATAAGATATTGCAATGAAATGTGTGAGTGACCTGAGGAGGAGTCCCATTT